CAATTTGGAGATCTATGATAGCAGATTCCAGTGGATGACACATTACAGTTGATAGTCTCCAGATCTGCTTAGAAATTGCAATGAGACAGAAGGGCCTCTTGATGGCTAGCTGACTGTGATGCAAACCTATCTGTCTCTAGAGGTCAGCCATTTCCTAGACTTCTTAGAAAAAAAAAATATGCACAGTTCACAGAAAGCAATCCAGTTCTTTATTTGTCTTAAAGTCTACTGAACAACACAGTTAAGCACTTGTACTTAGTTGTAAAACAGTTCTGCTCTGTTGAAAGTCAATGATATTAAACCAATGTGCTTGGATTAAACAGCTACAAATTTGTCTATTTATGACATAAGGGAAATTCATTCCTGATACACTGGTCCTGGCATCCAGATATAGGTTTTAGATAAAGGAAGGACACTTTTATAGAAAATTAAATATTGCTGAAGCAAGTAAACGATTGTGACTTGCCAAGTTTTTTTTATACTGACAACAGGCACAGAGTATTTTTGGACATGCGTAAATGGATTTATATAAAATTCCTCACTTGTTGTTCAGACAAAAAGATGTGAGTCTGAAAAGACTATTTGGTCTTTCGTATTATTTATAGCTCAGCCCACCAGTTCAGTCCTCAGAATTGAAGAAGCTTCTTGGATGAGAAGCTAAATGTTTTCAAGGAAAACATAAACAAGAAAGTCCAACTGCCTTTTGGGAAAGCTCATCCCATCCTTTGCCAGTTTAGACCCCAATTCACAAACAAATATGTTATCTCATAAGCTTTAGTAGGTCTCAGACCATTTCACCTAATCCATGGAATATTTTCTTGAGAAAGAAGTTTTGGTTTTATTTATATGCAGCTTTCTGTAATGAATATAAAATTCTGCAATGTTCTTTGTTCTATTCAGACTAGATTCACACAACACATTTGTTGTTGAATTATTCCATTAATGTGGATTAATGTGCTAAGCCATAAACCTAATCAAGATTAATACATTGTGCAAACACAACTGCTAGAGTGTGAGGATCTGGTCTGATGATTAATTAACACAAGACAATGCATGGATTCTTAAAGTAACCAAGCATTGTCTTGTTTGCACAATGTTCTAAGCCATAACAAACTAATCAAGATTAATACATTGTGCAAACAACTGCTAGTTTGTAAGACTTAGTCTGATATGCAAATAAAGCTCAGTATTTGCCAATTTATATCCCTTAACTATTCCAAATAGAATCTTTCTTATTAGATTAGGTTAAGGGGGAAGTTCTTTACTTGTATTCATATGATAAGAATAAAGTGGGTACTATACTTCCATTACAGACATATTAAGGATTATATATACACACCTGAAATGTATTCATCATAAAGAAGATTTTAAAATGATATATTATAAATGAATACCATATGATAACAATAACCTGCTTTGTTAGGGAAATATATTTGGAAAAGTCATGCAAATTAAGTAAATATCAGTGGAAAGAACTGTTATTTTGTTATTATAGCAGTGGTGGTGAACCTATGGGTACACGTGCTGTTGTGGGCACACGTGCCATTGTCCCAGCCTTGCCTCCCCCCGTGACCCCCTCCTCTCCAGCAGCCCCCCTGAAGGAGAGTCACCCCTGAGCGTGGCCCACATGGAGCAGCGCAGCTAAGAACATGGCAGCCAGGCAGCGTAAACAAGACTCTTCCCTCACACCCCATCATGCAGTTGATGCTGCAGAGTGCGGGCACAGGGTGTGGCCTCCATAGCGCTGCTGGGCTTCCTAGGCGATCTGCGGCGGGCCCTGGAGGCAGTGAGTGGTCATGTGGGTAGGCGGGGTGGAGGCAGAGCGGGGGCAGGGCAGGGGATGGAGTGGGGGTGGGCCAGTTTTGGGGCACTCAGTCTTTAAAAGGTTCACCATTACTGTTCTATAGCTATAATAGCAGCCTGTGGTAATTGTTGGTACGCACTTGTATCAGCACCCATATCCTTCAGCAGGAGTGAGGAGAAGAATAGTTCTACCCATTGTTAAGCTATCTATTTTGCATAAATGCCTGTATATAGAAAAGGTGCCTTGTTATCTCAACATCTTGACATATTTAAATAAATTTGCATTTAAATAAATTAGTTCTTAACTGTTTCAGGCTTTAAATGTTCCATATTAATTATGTGTGTGCCATTAGTTGAAAATGAAATTGCTCAGAATCTTGTTCAAGTAGATTCATTTTCAACTATCTATCCATCTTTAACAATGAAGATACCAAAATAGTAGATAGTTTCTGCTTTTTAAAAGCAACCATCAATAGTAAAAGCACAAGCAGTCAAGAAATATGCAGCCCACTAGCATTTAGTAGAACAATCAGGAAGGCCTTGGAAAAGATATTCAGATGCCAGGAGATCAGACTAGTGGAGGCAATGTTATTCTTTGTGACACTCTATGGAAGTGAAAGATAGACTTTGAAGAAGCAGGGCAGAAAGATTGTTGACGTTTTTGAAATGTGATATTGATAGTGGTGTTCCTGAGAATACCATGAATAAACAACAACAACAACAAGCAGATGGGTCATGGGACAATTCAAGCCAGAGTTTTCACTCAAAGCACAAATGATGAGGCTCAGATTATCCTACTTAGACAAATTATGTGAAGAAGCCTGTAAATGTGAAGAATGCTGGAAAAAGTATAAGGCAGTGATGGCGAACCTTTTAGAGACTGAGTGCCCAAACTGCAGCCCAAAACCGACTTATGTATCGTCGGTTGCTGGGTGGGTGTGGCCCGTTGGGTGGGTGTGGCCCATTGGGTGGGCGTGGCTGTGGTGGTAACTGCAGACTGGGTGGGACTAAAAAGTTCAATCAATCAAATCCAACTTTGCAAGATCTTTTTTTTCCCCACGAGAAGTAGAAATTGATTGAACCTCTTTTTTTTGCACATGGCGGAGCAAAAAGGTTTTATAAAACCCAGCTGAAGGCCTAGGACTGGGGCGAGGGCATGCGTGCCCACAGAGAGGGCTCTGCATGCCACCTGTGGCACATGGGCCATACGTTCACCACCACGGGTATAAGGTAAAGAGAAGGTAGATGGACTCAGTTACAATCCACTTACAGCTTTATTGCAGGCCAACCTGGCATTAAGTAGCATAGACCCATCCCCTTGGATATTCTGAAATGGTTTCAAGACCTGGTTATGTGATCAGATCTGGAACCACAGATTTTGCTATATGGCTCCACTGTTGAGGGGAGCATTTTTTATTCACTTGGATCGTATTTTTGAGATTTGGGGGATATTTATTACTCTGCTTTTTTATATTGGTATTTACTGCTTTTTCTACACATACCCACACCCACACACTATCGTTGTGGACTGCCCTGAGTCACCATTCATGAAATTGGCAGCTATATAAATGTGATAAAATAATAATAAAATAAAATAAAATAATAAAATAAATAAAGAGCTGCAGTACAGAGCTGCTAAACTTTAGATTTGGGGATGAACATGGGAATCAGAACCACCTTCCCTAAGAGTGGCCTGCCCCTGTCTTCTTCATATTTCCCCCTGCCTGCCACTACTAATGAAAGCTGGGATTTTCAGTTTTAAATTTGACTGTACTTGCATTTGAATGTCTTTTTAAGAAATCTTCAGAGTTTTCTTTTCTGCAATTATTTTATATTTAATGAGGTTGGCCATTTTGACAGGCAGGCTGGTGGGCAGGCAATAAATAGTTAATGAAACAAAATAAAATTTAAAAGGGATTTTTTTTTTTCAGATAAGAAAAGCCATTTAATAACCCTGGATGCTTTTGCTCATAGCAATTTCATAGCTGTGGTCTGCAGCCCCCAGGGGCTTGGCACACAAAGCTATGCTTGGCAGGCTTTCCTATAGACTCATCAAGTCTGAGTCAGCCATGGTCAGTTGTTGGCCTACATAATTTTAGCAATTCTTGTTAAAGTCAAGACCTTGAGAAGAAGGGGGATGACTGGTTTGGGCATGTGGGAGTTTTCCCAACATTCTGTGGAAATTACAGTATGTATATATATAAAGTTTAGACTTCAAATAGACCAGTCAGAATTCATAAGATTGAAGTTAGATATCATTTCAAAGTAGTTCTCAATCTACCTGTTAGTCCCTATCTATGTTTAACTAACCCTATTTGAAAGCAGAACAGACATCTTTGGATGAGATTCTTCCTACTCTTACACGACAATTGTATCCCCCCACCAACCTCACCTAGTACTGCTCCAGAAGTTTACAACTCTCCAGAACTGGACTGGAAGCTTATCTCTACTTGTGCAACATTGGATTGCATTTGTTTTATATGTATTTAAATAATACTGTAATCATATCTACAGAACTGTGAAATGAATTGTCCAAACACAAGGGACTTTCCTTCTACTCAGTATCTCAGAACTCAGTGCTACTGGCTTATTGCCAAATACATAACTTTAGAGCTTGATTTCTTCTGATTTCTAATTTCTCATATTCCATAGCAATACTGAATCTCTAGGGAGTCTTTGAAGCATCAGCCTTTGCCACCCAGATCACTGTTTGGAACCAGATTTTTGTTGTTGTTGTTATTTTCAATAGTTGTTTAAAATATTCTTTTCAACTACTTCACCCATTTCAAATCCTAGGAGTGGGAGAGAACTTGAGTAAAACATAGGCCACTAGAATAGTATCATGTATTTACAAGATTATTTTTCTTGGCATGCAGTTTAGGCTTTACATGCTATGTGGCTGAAACCAGATTAGCTTCTGGTGCTAAAGAATACTCACTAAGAATTTGCTGGCCCTGACGAATTATTGTATATGCTTACAAGTTTGTTATTTTAGTGTAATGATGCAAATTCTACAGATTGTTCCACCACTACTGTAGTAATCTCTATTTAAGAAAGAACAACTGTGAGCACTTATTTTTAGAATTTGCTCAGCAGCTGCTTCCAAATGAAGTCCACATTCCATGTGCTTCTCCAATGTGTAGAAATATGTTGTGTCACACTGATCTAAAGCTTTGTGCAACCTTTCTCTATTTCAGCTTTGGTTTGCATTTGTTAATGGATTCTCTGGACAGATTTTATTTGAGCGCTGGTGCATTGGACTCTACAATGTGGTAAGTGTTCTCCCCTCTCCACTGGATAACAGGCCAAACAGGGGACGGCATTCCAGGGTTGTTCATGTCTGTGCAGTGTATTTCATCTGATCCTCTCTACTGGGCTATTTCACTTAGGCTTGCTGGCCAGTAAGTCTGAACAAAAATAGAAAGCTTTTGCTTTTATTCCTAATCTGAAATAATTCTTTAAAAATGTAAATAATTCTTTTAAACCTAGCAAATGCCTCCACAATTTATGGCCAATCAAGTCCAAGTGGCCCCGTCAACTTTCAGCTGACTTGACAATCAAGCAGGGGACAACAGGATATGGTTCAATTGTCTTTTGAATAGAAATCTACTTTAACTCTAAAGTAGGCAACAGTTCAGATACAAAAGGATAGGCTCATTTCCAAGGCTCAGAAACTGCATTGAACAGCCACAGTTGAGGTCACCAGAGAGTATAATTGTCACAGAAATTGACAATACTAATTGGGCGGGTGGATGCATTTCAAGAGTTGGAATGGAAGTGGCAAACCAAGGTTTTCCTACTTCTTAGATAGAGGACTGGCTCTTGAGAGCATTTTAATAGAGGATATGCAGTCATTTTCTCTAATATGTAACTATACATACTGATGGCTCATTTTTACTAGTTGAGTTATCCTAATGTTTTAATAATAATATTTTAATATTTAATAAGATATCTAATTTAGTTGATATGACCCCACTCAGTGGAGAAGACGCTGGAGACACGACATTTTGTCATGCTTGATTAATTCATGATTAGACCAAGAAAACCAACTACTAAATGTTATTATCAATCTCAAATAAGCCTAACCTAAGCATAATCTACCAAATTTCTGGTATAAATATTTACCATCATAAATATATTTCAGCTCAACACTAGCAGAAATACAATATTCTCAGAAAACATGAAAATATTGTCTTATTCTAAGATACTCATGCAATTTTTCTAAAACAAAGGAAGCCTAACACTAACACTAAGCTCTCCCAAATGACAGTCCAAATATTTGGTATCCTGCTTTACGCAGTATAAATTTGTCTACCACAAAACATAAAAAAGGTCAAGTTGGAATAGTAAATATTACCATTAACCTCAAGGAAGCCTACGTAAATATTCAATTCTATCCTCAATCTAAATTTTAAAACATAAGGTTATCTTTAATGATAAAAGTTAATCCTGAATCTGATGTAATTCCCAATTTTATTACCAAGTTCAAGAAAGCCTAATTCTTCCTCCTACAAAATGACAATACAAATATTTAAACTAAGAATCACTCAACACTCTATAGAAGCCTTAATTTAAACTTAACATTGTTTTGATTGAATATGTGCCATCTAGTTGGTGTCAACGTGGATAGATTTGCTCTGTGACAATCAGTCTGTAAGCTAGTACCTGCCGGCATATAAGGCAACTTCAGCAAGTGCTAAAATTGGCGCCAAAGACGGGGGTCGTCTTATACCCCGAGTCGTCTTATATGCCGGAAATACTGGTAGTTTCCGGCATATAAGACGACGTTCTAGGAATGCGGCTCGGAGACAAAGAGGGGGTCGTCTTATACGCCGGGTCACCTTGTACGCCGGCATATACGGTATTTTAGATCTTCCAATGGTGCACTCATCACTACTATAAGTGAGTCCATCCACTTAACTGCTGGTCATTCTCTTCTTCTGTTTCCTTCCCTCTTTCCCAGCATTATAGGCTTCTCTAGAGACCTGGGTCCAACATATAATACAGTATACTATATATGAATTATATCGTATTTTAACCTCATAATTGGCACCACAAATGAAAAATCTGGGTTGATTTGCCTGCTGGTCCTTTGTTTCTTATTAAACATAAACTTTCAAGTGAATCATTAATCATTCATTCATTGATTCATTCATTCATTCGCTGTAACTAATCTCCATATCCCTTATCCAAGGATGCACCATATGCCCAGTATATGTATACTGAATTTTACTATCAGCATCAAGGAAGCATTAATGTACTCCTATCCTTAGATAAGTGTCAGTATAATATTCAACCTAAAAGATCCTGCATGCACAATTCTAAAAGCACATATTAAATTTTTTCCACTAATGTCAAGGAAGCAGAACTTTAATCCTAACCTCTCAGAAATACCATTTTAAATATTTAACATAATACTCTCTTCAAACTCAGCCCTAATCCCATGTAAATATAAGGCTACAACTAACTATAAAAAAAAACCTGTTCTGGATCAGAATAGCACATATTAAATATTCCTCAAGGAAGATGAACCCTAACACTGACTTGTACAGAATACCAATAGAAAAATTCAATATTAAGATCATTCTATATTGATTCTAAATCATAATTAAGTTGAAAAATTACCACTAAGTATAAAAAGATTCATTGGTTTCAAAGATATGTTAAACTATATCTTGGGAACTACTATACAACTATTAAGTGATCATAAATCTTGGAAAAGCCAAATACTGGCCTAACCTACTCAGAATAACAACAGAAAAACTCTAATTTAAAACTTGGAGTACATTATGCATAAAAAACTTACTCTGTGTGTAATGTATATATTAAATTTTAACATAAATTTCAAGCCTAATCCTAACTGTAATCTCACCAAATGCCAGGATAAACGTTGAGCCATAAAAATATTTCTGTATTCAATCTGAAGATAACTTAAAGCTGAGACTGCTACTAAACACAAGAACACTCACACTCACTAATTCTAACTAATAGATTAAATGTTACTATAAAATTCAAGCACACATGTATGCATGTATATTTATCATATTTTCAAAATCGCTCTTCTCCCTCACAGAGGCATTCTGAAAATATATTATTTTTTTGTAATTCATCTCATAAACTTCATTAAAATATCTTTTTTGCTTTTGCTTCCTATGGACCAAAACTGTCCATTTGTCTGGAAATAATTAACAGGCAGGGAGTAAATGAATTAATTTAACATTAATGGTTAAATGGTTTAGAAAGCCATTTCCCAAGTAGTACTCAATTTATGACTGTAATTGAACCTAGAATGATGGTTGTAAGTACAGTAAATGGGTTACCACATGACCGCACCCAATTTTACAACCTTTATTGCAGCAATTTTTAGGTATACGCAGTGGTTGTTAAACAAGTCAATTTTCTTCAATGGGCGTTTTTTTTTCCAGAAACCAGCAAAAACTGCCAAAAATCACAGTCTTATGACCATGGGATCTGCAAATGGCCATAAACGCAAGGCAGTTGCCAAGAGTCCAAAGTGCAAAGGGGAAGGCAAATGTTAGAATTTTGAAAACAACTCTGAGGAGGTCTGCTTTAACTTCAAATGGTTGCTAAGCAACTGTTATTAAATGAGGATTACCTGTCATGAAAGGAACTGAAGAGACAATCTTCACTCAGTTGCTATAGATTAGCCTTGAGCATTTATATTATTTCAAAATACATGATAGCAGCAATCAATCTAGGCTGCTAAAGGTAGCTTAAAGTAGGGGTTCCCAACTCCCAGACTGCGGATTGGTACCGGTCCATGGCCTGTTAGAACCAGGCCACGCAAGCAATGGGCAAATGAGGAAGCTTCATCAGTGCATGCACGGGATCTAGATTCCCTCCCCCCTCCCCACCGGCCCATGGAAAAATTGTCTTCCACAAAACTAGTCCCTGGTGCCAGAAAGGTTGGGGACCGCTGGCTTAAAATGTATTCTGAATTGCCTTTGTTTTATAAGCTGTTGATTCAGAGGCCTCTTATTTTTTTTATTGAATAGAAGTCATGGGACACTTTCCTTCAGTCAGCGGCAGCCTTCTGCTTTGATGTCCAGTACCATATAATAAAAACTTGCCTACTTCAGGCATCTAACTTAGATTCAGCACAACTGAATTTAGTAAAGCTGTTGATGTGGATTTTAACAATGTCAGGATTCTTTCCAGCTATGACGTATACTTTTCAACTTGTTTATAAAGTTAATGGTCTGTTATTTTTAATTACTGCCTTTGTTTTTTCTAGATTTTTACAGCATTACCTCCCTTCACCTTGGGAATCTTTGAACGATCCTGCTCCCAAGACAACATGCTTAGGTTTCCCCAGCTCTACAAAATTACTCAAAATGCTGATGGGTTCAATAGCAGGGTAAGAGGCAATGTTTACCTAGAGGGAAGGATTAAAAACAACAGGGCTATATTAGTTTAAAACTGAAATTTTAATTTACAGCTGCTATTTCAGATTGAAATGATTAATCCTTAATGTTCATCCTTAATAAATGCTAGGTCTGGTAGGGGTACTAAATCAGCTTCCAACTGTGAATGGTAATCATGGCACAACTCAACTGTGGTTTATCTAAACTGAAAGTAGATATTTATGATCTCTTCATAGCCCCAACAGAGAAGAAGGTCTGCTTGGTGGAAAGAAAAACAATGTTGACTACTCTTTGGTTTATGTGAATTCAAATTATGGGGGAAGATTACATGCAAAACAACCCTATCAGAAAATGCTAATATAATTATATACCTAATAAAAAGTAAGAATTAAAAGGTTGTGAAATATTAAGAAATAGACAAAAAGGCATCATTATAGCTAAATGTTCTTGGTCCCAAAAGATTAATTGAGTATATATTAGTAAGACCTCTTGGAGAAGAATAATGCTACACCATCACTGAAAATGGATTGGGACACCTCACCATATCCAACCCACCACAGGACAATTCACTGCAGGACAACTTGCCAAAGGACAATTCAACAAATACAAAAGTTAAATTAATTTCAATGGAACCATGGCCAATAATAATAAAATAAAGAAGTCAATCCAGAAATAGAATAGAACAGAATAGAATAGAATAGAATAGTACAGAGCTGGAGGTCTTCTAGTCCAGCCCCCCCCCCCCCCCCCCGCTCAAGCAGGAGAACCTATACCATCCCAGACAGGTGGTTGTCTAGTCTCTTCTTAAAAATCTCCAGTGATAGAATGCCCATGATTTCTGGAGCTGTTCCACTGGTTGATTGTCTTCACTGTCAGAAAGTTTCTCCTTAATTCCAGGTTGCTTCTCTCTTTGATCAGTTTCCAACCATTGTTTCTCATCCTGCCCTCTGGTGCTTTGGTGAATAACATGAACCCCTCTTCTTTGTGGCAGCCCCTCAAATACCAGAATACTGCTATCATATCACCTCTATTTCTTCTTTTCTTTAGACTAGCCAAACCCAAGTCCTGCAGCCGTTCTTCATATGTATTAGTCTCCAGTTGCTTTTTTCTGATTTTTTTCCAAACTCTCAACATCTTTTTTCTGATATGATGACCAAAATTGACCAGGTGTGGTCTTACTAGGGTTTTATAAAGCGGTACTAATACCTCGTGTGATCTTGATTCTATGCCTCTATTTATCCAACCCAGGATTGTATTAGCTTTTTTGGCTGCTGCTGCACATTGCTGGCTCATGGTTAAGTGATCATCCACTAGACTAGCACTCCAAGGTCCCTCTCACAGTTACTGTTTTTAAGCCAAGTCTTGCCCAGTCTGTACTTGTACCTTTGATTGTTTCCTGCCTAAATGTAAAACTTTGCTTTTCTCCACATTGAAACTCATTTTGTTGGATAGACCCATTGTTCAAGTTTGTCTAGATCTTTTTGGATCCTGAATTTGTCTTCTGGGGTGTTGGCTACTCCTGTGAGTTTGGTGTCATCTGCAAATTTGATGAATTCCTCTTCAATTTTCTCATCTAAGTCATTTATGAAAATACAAGAGTTAGAATAATTTCGCTGAAAATGTGGTCACCAATAATAAAAGTAAGTGAATGAAATTATTAATACAGCATTGAATTGTCCCACCGCGAGTTGGCCATGGTTAGGGGATTGTTGCAAGTGGGCCACAGGAAGTTGGCTGCGACACGTTGTCCTAGACCTCACAGAAAAGGCCTCTTCCTCATAAATATCTACATTTTGCAGAGGGGGTTAGTTGCAAAAAAAAAAAAAGGCTTAAAATCTTAATGGATACAAGTTAACATTCCAAGTTTCATATCATTAGCCATGAAAGACAGTCAAATGTCAGAAATAGTACAACTGCAGCATTATATACTGACATTTCTATCAGGAAATTCCAAATGATCTCACTTTACCAACAAACCCATGTTAAAAGATAATGGATGTCATCAAGCATTAGGCTGAGCAAGACCATGTTAACAGATAACTCATGTGGAACTCCAGTATATTGCTCCCTGGTCAGTGCTGTCAGTGCTTGGGTTCCTGAAAGAAGAAATGCTCAAATCCATGTAGATACCTACATTGAAGAATAGGTTGAGCTTCCTTGTACCGAGGAAATCCAGTGTATACATACATGCTTATATCTTTCTTATTCTTAAAGACAGCTCAACCCTAGGAATAGGTACAAAATTTATGGTAACGTTTAGAATAATTTAAGCTTTGAATATTAACTTCTAAGAGCTGGTTCTCATTATCTTTTGAGCCACAGCAACTAGACTGTCTACAACATTGGCAGTATTTTGGCATCCAGCTGCAACAGGGTACCCAAAAATGTCTGCTTCATTTAGCATGTTGAATTGGCAGGAGTTACGCTTGCTAATTCCTTCCAAAGCATGATGACTCTCACTGGGTCAAATCCCCTCTTCCCTGCTAAAAGTTGAAAAGGTCAGGCATAGGGTTCCAAATTGGAATATTAGCCATATACATTTATAAGAGCCTCTATGCTTACATATGAATTAATATCTCTGTGTGTTCTTTGCACCAAGTTTCAACTGATTTGGTATTTGGCAATGAAATGTTCCCACACTTTTACCTGTTGCCTTTTCACCACTTCCTCTCAAGAGATTCTAGGAAAAATATTGAGATGACTTTATTGTTCCCTTCAGGTTATAGGTTTAAAAAGATGTTTCAGGGAGATACGCAGGTAAAGTTACACTTAATATTTTCTTTTCATATTTTGGAGAATTTCCTCCACTCTCAGTTTTCACTTTTTATTAACCTACTCTATCTAATAAAACTTTAGCAGTTCAGAGCTTAAAGACCAGAAAAAATCTAAGAGGGTGCTGCTTATGGTGGTTTAAGATTTCAAAAGATTGCATTTTTATGTGGGTTCTTAATGAACTTAAAAATAGCATAAGAAACTATGAGGACTGGATTTTGTTGTTTTGCATGTATCTTTCTGTCATCCTATTATTACAGAAATAAAGAGTAAACAGGATTGTTTTGAGTCTTGCTGAATGTCTGAATTAGTTGTCTGGCCACTGTATTTTTACATAGTAATGTGTGTTTTAGAACATATTCAAAAATTAGATGACAGTGATAAATGTGATTAAAAATATTTCTGAATGTGGTGAATGACTTTCAAAACTCAGGAAATTTAGGAAGTAAAATTTTTATCACTGCAACAAGGTAAAAACTTTGTTTCTCTTACTAGATTTCAAGGGAACATTCGCTTGAATTATAAAGCAGATGGCAGTTTCTGAGAAGAAACAGTTGTCAAAACATGGGGAATAAAATAAAACAATTAAATGTAACACAAGAGAGAGAGAATGGAGATGAAACAAGGGCAAATGTTTTCTGCTGTTATTACAGTATTATATTAGGAAATGCCCTCTCCAATCAGAAAAGGGAAAGGAAAAATACTCATCCTACAATTACCAGCTCACACAAAAAGTTCATGAATGAGTAAAATATTTGAATATGTCAGGGGAAAATTGAAAATCCAACCCTACTTCTTTCTAATAATATAATAATTCTGCAAAAGTTTCTGCATCCTTTGACTCCCCAAGAAGTAATTGTTTTAAAAAGGATGATTCCTAGTCCAAAAAGATTCCCAAACTCTAGACTGGTGCTACTCAGATATATATTTAGATTTTCTGAGGCATTTTGGGAACTATCTAGAGTTCCCTGTGTTAATTATATAACTAACCCTTCCCCCCATTCTTAATTGTATTCATATATTTAAAGCTAAATTTACTCAGTGTCAAATTTTCATGGTTTCCTTGGCTGATTTATATGAACAAACACCCAAGCACAATAAAGAACAGAAAATGGATACTTGAGGTATGGTTTTCCTCCACCTAAAATTCAATTCCAGGAAATACAAAGACATGCTTCATTATAGTGTTTGGATTGATAAATATAAAAACATTTTTTAAAAAATCTAAAACATGGAAAGTACAATTAGATGGCTTTGCTGCATAAATTTTTCAAAATTTAACAAAGATAGGGATGTCTTCATGTGGATTTAGTAATGTTGAATTTTCTTTCTGTTTTTTATTTGTCTTTGTCTCTGTGTGTGTGGCAGCACACCAACTTTTGCAATGAAAGAAAACACTTTCTACTAAAAATTGTTCACTTATTTGATGGGACTTAATGAATCGTTTGATGGAACTTTAACAGTGTTGGAGAGTTCGATCACTCTCCTGACTTTCTTGTTTGTTTTTCCTTTAGGTGTTCTGGGGTCATTGCATCAATGCCTTGATCCACTCCGTCATTCTTTTCTGGCTTCCCCTGAAAGCACTAGAACACGGTAAATAAATGTGTTGTTCTTTCCCATATGTTAACTAAGTAGTCTTCAATCTTTCTAAGCCAGGATTTTTATATTGGGGTCAAAACATGTTGCTTGGAAATTAATCATTGCAGACAGACCAACAGCTTTCTAACATTTATCAGCAGTGACCTTCCAAATCCTCCCTTTCTGCATGCCATCTTTAATAGATAGCAATTCACATCCATTATAAATCACAATGTCCATTGGTGAAGCTATGTTTATTTAAAATTGATTTACACATTCAAAAGAACCAGGTACATCGGTGTTATGCAGCTTCCCTTACTGTAAGTCTTATCACTTGGTTTAGACTAATGAAAACAGGAATTAGGCCAAATGTTTACTTACCTGACCTGATAATTTAAAGGGAATCATTTTTGTGAGATGGCTCCTGCACAACTTTGTTTTTCAAAAGTTCTGCTGATTCTGTTGCATTAGGGGTGTCAGATCCAGGCTGAAAAAATCCAGATAACTTCTAGATAGAAGCAAAAAGTTAGAGTTTGTTTTCCAAGTTTTATAATAGTGATCATCAAATTTATATTAGAGCAAAACTTACTGATTTTAAAATGCCATCTTCAGAAGCACTTCAGAAGATTTAAAGTGGAACTGGTAAAGATTTTTATAAACTATTTCCACATGAAAATGCTAAATTGCTGTTGTTACTTAAGTAGAAGAGATGAGAAAATTTCTATCTGTATTTGAAGAAATCTTGTAACTGTTGAAATAAAAACTGTCATTCACCTATATATAAGGGTATGTCCTTTATACATCTCTGCAATTAATAGAGACTTTAGCAGCCTTAGAAATGCATGCTTGCAATATGTCTTTACCATCTTTGTCATTGTTAGGAATTGGTTCAAAAGGAATCTTTACAAAATCATGGGATACTAGACACAGGACCATATGTCAGGGTAAAATATATAAACAAAGCAATGACATCCACAGTACTTTCACAAACAATGTGCTCTCAAGCCCTGAAATTTCCAGTATCTCCTCAATGCAATGTGTCCTCACTGCTCAGTAAACCTCACCCATTGTAATGGTGTGTGAAAAAGACCTTGGGAGACAGGAAGAAGGGCTGCAATCTAGACAGCACTCTGATAATGAAATCTGAATCCAAAGGAGAAAGTAGGAATACTAGTTTTAGGGAGAATTAGATTAAGGAAGGTGAAATATATTTTTATATTTGCAAGATGTTCTTATTGTAATTTTACCCTAAAGATAGTGTTATTACTCAGTTATGCTTCTTTTCTGGACTACCTCAAAGGGCTAACACCCTTTTCATCTCTGCTTTGTCCTCATGCTGAAGTTTGTAAAACATTTCAGCAGCTTTCAAGAGAAAGGAAGCAAGATGGGCAGTCAGTTTCCTCACTCAAACAAGAAAAAAACAGAAGAAATGTATGTCCCACAAAATTTGTTCCAGATGTTCTGAACAACCAGACATTTTGACTTCTTGCAATTTGTCAGTGTTGACTTGCTGTCTTTACCATGTGAGTCCTGGAAGGAAGTCCAGCAGTGGATGAAGGACATAATCCATATCCCCTGGAAAAGTAATTGCAGAAGGATAAAGAGATACCAGGGATGGAAAGAGTCAGCAATCTTGGTTAATCTTACTCTAAATACTGTAGATACTGAGGGTGAAGGTTCATTCTCCAAACTTGTGGGTTTTGTTAAGAGGCTAGGTAATATCTTCAGCAGAGTTTAGGAGATGTCAGTGTCAGTGTTCTTCTATTTTTAAGGGCTTAAAGTGTTGGCATGTCAAGTCTTGTGATGGGTCTTGTGATGGGGAGGATACATCAGGTCAGGATCATTGGGAGCTGAACTGCTGGTGGGAGGGGGAACTTCCATGGTTGGTTGAGGATCGGTGCTGTCTCTGGTTGGCTCTGTGGTTGATTTGGATTCTGAAGGGTTCATAGGCTGGTTGTAGGTCAAAGTTTCTATTGATGAAATTGCTGGTGGAGTGCCAGGCTTCGATGAACTCACGAGCGTGGCGGGTGGTAGCACGGCCGATGATTTTTGTGTTGTTCCAATTGAACTGGTGCTGTTTGGTGTCAGTGTGGGTAGAAATTAAGGATTTGGGATCGTGGCGTTTGATTACCAGCCAGTGTTTGTGGATCCTGTTTTTTAACTGACATGATGTTTGTCCCATTGTAGATACTAATAGGCGGAGGACAGCCAGTTTAGTGTAGTGGTTAGGGCATCAGGCTAGAAAACCAGAGATTGTGAGTTCTAGTCCACTTTAGCTATGAAGCCAGAGTGACTTTGGGCCAATTAAACTCTCTCAGCCCTAGAAGAAGGCAATAGTAAGCCACTTCTAAACTGCAGGGATTTGTCCAGGCAGTCACCAGGAATCAAGAGTGACTTGTAAACAAGGTGATAAAATTGTCCAATGCCACCTTTTATGTTGCCCCAGTGACTAGCTATTGGCATGAAGATTCTCTGCAACAGTGGACTAGATACAAATAATTCTAATCTTATTTTGGGAGAGTAATAGACATGTGTCAATCCCAGGTTAATTGACACAGGGAAGGGGAATTGGAAAGCAGGAGGATCATGCAAGCTGGACTCTGTTCTTCACTCTCTTCTCAGGTGCCTTTTTTGATATATTGCTATGAAGATCAAAAGCAGGTTTGCTATGAAAACCAATGTTCCTGTACATTCAAAGAAGGTTAGCATACAAAGTGATTTTTATCACTTATTTTTATCAATTGCTGCTGCTGCTGCCTTTCTGTTTTAAAGAGGACCATTTGCTTTTAAAGGAAGGCCTAGTACTTTCTCTAGCATCCCAGAGAGATAATAACACATTTTAATGAGCAGCATGTGTGGGATCTGATTTTAGCTTTGGACAGCATCAGCTAGGCATTATGCCTTCAGAAGCCAAGTGTCATATCTGTCAGCATCCTAAGCCAAAATGGCCACAAAAGTTTGTGTGGAATAATCAGAAGGGAGAGGATGGATGGACTGCAGCCAAAAGTAATCAAGAGATTCTGGGCTCATTCCAGCCTCCAATTACATCATTACATACATACATTACCAGAAATCATGAACTTCCAGAAATCATGCATAGAGTAAAGCTTGTGCAGGAGAGAAGAAAACACCATTTTAATATTTGGATTAGCTAAATATGAAAATAGGTGGTTGAATAATTCCAGGAATGAAGTGAAGACAATGTCATGAGATCAGGTCCATAAAGAATGGTCAGCAAGGTCTAACCTAGTTTCTGTTAGAGAGACATATAGAATCTTTCTTATGCAAAAGCTTTCTTGTTCTCAGCTTCATTTATAGGATAAACTTCATGCAGTTTTTGAGCCCACTGTGAATGTGTAATATTTCTTAACCATTTTTACTTTATTTTCATTTTTTAATGTGCTATTGGTAATTCAGATCTGTGATCATAATCAAAATTCTGTTCTAGTTTACAGAGGTTTTTTTGTCTGCTAAATCTCCGTATGTTTTATAATTAAAAATTGTATGTTATGTCATTACTGATTTGAATCAAGCAAATATTCAAATTAAGTTAGTGATATAGTGTCTTCTTGCCATCCCCCATTTGGGTATGTAGCCAGTGATTAGTCAATCCTGAGCCAATGTTTCTATTTTAGATCTCTCTCACCTACATTGATGTATACTTCTTGGGCTGCCATATTGAAACTGATGAATCTTTATGGTTGGGTGATTTTTCTGGATTGTAACCCAATTGAATGAATTTGGGGGTATCTATTGCAGCAATGTGTTCTCTTTTTCTCAGAATATCTTATTCCTTTATCCAGCAGAAGTAAATATGGTGATGACAGAAACATTGTTAAGTTTGTTATTTTGATATATTGAATCAACATACTGTAGGATTTTTTTACCATTACATTGAGGGATTGGATGTCAGTGTTGGATAACAGTTGTTTAGTCATTAACGTCACTCAGTTCTTTAAAGATAATGTATCTATTATCTGTGTTAAACAAGGCAGTTTTGAATGTATCATTTGGATGCAGAATTCTTTTTAAATCAAGGGAAATCAAATGAAAATAAACAGAACAGGAATAGCTGAATGTAGTACAGAGGCAGGCACCAAGATGATGTGGTAACTAGAAGTTTTCATCTCTGATGTTTGATTATTATTATCATTGACCCTTTACCTTGATTATTAGTTCTTGGCAGAAATTTTTGGTCTTTTCAATTCTTGAAGGAGAAATGTGTGATTGCAGATGTGTATATATTATTTTTAACTTGTGGTTCAGTGTAAGCTACTTGTTATACTGTTTGTTTTCAATGTGTTTTATTTAAAGACTTCTGAGAAACCTGTTGTGCAAATTTCACAACAGATAACTGTCTAAAGCTTGTCAAGAAATGCACACATTATGGACTCTTTCTAAATGTCTCCCAGTCAGTTGGGTTACCTTTTATATTTTCAGAAAAATGATATTTAAGTTGCACAAATTAAATGTAATAAAAATGATACATCCTTCTGCTCTTTATGCTGGGCCTCCTGTTTGGTTTAAGATATTTCAGCACTGAATTTAACTTAAGTGGGATTCTATACTATACTATCCCATTGAACTTGGTGGGATTTACTTTTGAGTAACTGCATATACTGTATTTGCATTTTCATTGATTGTATTTTCATTGCATTTTCATTGAATGTATTATTGTATTTCATTTATTTGCAAATCTTACTTTAAATAAGAGAGAGAGAAAAAACCTTTACTGAACAGGGTATTTATTCTTTTAACTATTTATTGTAGATACAGTATTTACAAGTGGCCAGGCTGTTGACTACTTGTTTGTTGGAAATATTGTTTATACGGTAAGCTAATCCATAAAAAGTAAAGCAATATATCCTTAGATCTGATTGACTTTGATTATGGATGTATTTCTGTGATGAATGTGTCTACAAAGGGGGACATGGTGTGAAGTAGCAATTTCCTAGGAAGGAGAAAACAGATTCCAAGAAGAGGGGTGAAACAAGAGATAGCAAAACCTAAATCAGAGATTTAGGATAGCCACTCCCTAGAATCTCCTAGGACAGAGGTCCCCAACCCCCAGTCTGTGGACCAGTACCGGTCCGTGGCATGCCAGCAACTGGGCTGCACAAATAAGCAAAGCCCCTTCCATGGGATGCAGGCAGCACACAAAACCACACACTCTCCGGTCTGCAGAAAAACCTCTCTCCATGGAACCAGTCCCTGGTGCCCAAAAGGTTGGGGACCTCTGTCCTAAGATACATCTGTTAGGGTGAGAGTAAGATTCTGACTATTTGCCATGAGCAAATAGAGAACTGAACTTTGGTTGGATTGTTCTAAGACATCTGTGGGCTAGATCTGATATTTTCCGATGGTTGGATAAAATAAAGTAAAGTAAAGTAAAGTAAAATATAATAAATAAAATAAAATAAAATAAAATGTGTACAGTGTGCTTAGGGGTGCCATTATTATGCCATAGAAAGTTGTGTCTGTTGAATTTCTCAAACTGGGCAGCTATTAAAAGACAAAGAATTTTGCCAGAGGATGTTATGGCAACCTACTGGAAGGTAATTGATACTAGGAGTATTGAGGAAAAGATGTGGGTTTAGGTCTATTGGAAATATATAAGAATGTATATACAGATATTTCTGATTCATGATTGAATTATTCTGGTTCTTATCACAGTTCCAATGTACCAAGTCTTGGGATTCCCACACATCCTGGTAGAAACTACCTACATGCCCTGTCATGTGGCTATAGAAGTTCAGGAATGTATAGAATTAATTTATTCTGATTCTATTAGCCCTATCATAAAGCAGATTAAGCATGTAATTGTGCTGTATAATAGCTAGCTAATAATTACTAGATCCTACACTCAGGACAGAGGCATGGGAGTATGTGTGTGTGTGTGTGTGTGTGTGTGTGTGTGTGTGTGTATCTCCCCCGATCATTTCTGAATTTCTGTACTTCTGAAATTTGCTAAATATTACATTTAGCAAAAGGAAATGACATTTAATTTCTACCATTTAGATGGGTCCCCAATCCCTGGGCTGTGGCCCACTACTGGGCCATGACCTGTTTGGAACCGGGCCACATGAATGGTGGACTGGCGCACGCACATGCAGCTTGAGTTGCATGCATGAGTGGTGGGCTAGCACATGCATGCCACTTCCATGGGCCCCTCTCCCCCCCTGTCAGATCTCCAAGCCGTAAAAGTTGGGGATCGCTGGTTTAGACCATGCTTTTGCAATGTACTATATCCTTTACCTAAAGAAAAACAAGAGAACAACTATGAATGGGAAATACATGCTGGAATTCAAATTTCTCCTCTACTTTTTTTTTACTGCAGTATGTTGTGGTAACAGTCTGTTTGAAAGCTGGCTTAGAAACCACAGCATGGACAAAGGTGAGTATAACTATTAAGTCAATAGAAGGAATTTCAAATTCATTTTCTATCTAAAATTGAATTGCAATTTTATCCAGAAAAAAAATTCATCAATTCATTTTCAGAATTCCCACCTAAAATAACATGAGGACAATGATGTAGCCTTTAGATAGGGATGTAGACGGTCACTGGGGACTCATAGACATTTGAAGAATTTCATGAAGCTATGATTCAGTAAAAACAGCATGTTTATTAATAAACGTTTCCATCTTTTGTATTTGACAATTAAAATGGGAAAGATATAGATCACAGAAGTCACAAGCTGAATTGCTCTGCCTGGAAATGATCTTCCTCGGAAAGTAACTGAAAGAAGACTTCCCCCCTTCCCACATACAATATCTCCATTGACCCCCAAGAGCAAAAGTGTGACTTTCTCAAGCAGATACTTGCCAACTAGTTACATTTGACCTAGTCTGACTGACTAGTGCAAAGGTTAAGAAAAAGGCTGGTTTTGGAATGGAATAGAATAGAATAGAATAGAATAGAATAGAATAGAATAGAATAGAATAGAATAGAATAGAATAGAATAGAATAGAATAGAATAGAATAGAATAGAATAGAATAGAGCTGGAAGGGACCTTGGAAGTCTTCTAGCCCAGCCCCCTGCTCGAGCAGGAGAACCTATACCATTTCAGACAAGTGATTGTCCAGTCTCTTCTTAAAAATCTTCAGTTATGGAGTGCCCATGGTTTCTGAAGGCAAGCTGTTCCACTGGTTGATTGTCCTCATTATCAGGAAGTTTCTCCTTAATTCCAGGTTGCTTCTCTCTTTGGTCAGTTTCCAACCATTGTTTCCTGACTTGCCCTCTGGTGCTTTGGAGAATATTTTGATGCCCTCTTCTTTGTGGCACCCCCTCAGATACTGGAATACTGCTATGATGTTGCCTCTGTTTCTTCTTTTCTTTAGATTAGCCAAACTCAAGTCCTGCAGCCGTTCTTCATTTGTTTTAGTCTCCAGGCCTTTGGTCATTTTAGTTGCTCTTCTCTGAACTTTTTCCAAGGTTTCAAAATCTTTTTTGAAGTATGGTGACCAGAATTGGTTGTAGTATTCCAGGTATGGTCTTACTAGGGTTTTATAAAGCGGTACTAATACTTTGTGTGATCTTGATTCTATACTTCTGTTTGTACAATCAGGATTGTATTAGCTTTTTTGGCTGCTGCTGCACACTGCTGGCTCATAGTCAAGTAATCATCCACTAGGACTCCAAGGTCCCTCTCACAGTTACTGTTTTTGAGCCAGATCTCGCCTAGTCTGTACTTAAACCTTTGATTTTTCCTACCTAAATGTAAATCTTTGCTTTTCTCCACATTAAAACTCATTTTGTTGGATAGAGCCCATTGTTCATGTTTGTCAAGATCTTTTTGGATCCTGAGCTTGTCTTCTGGGGTGTTGGCTCTTCCTGCCAGTTTGGTGTCATCTGCAAATTTGATGAGTTCCCATTCTATTCCCTCATCTAAGTCATTAATGAAGATGCTGAAGAATACTGAGCTTAAGACGGAGTCTTGTGGTACCCCTCTGCTTACTTCTCTACATGTGGGTGTAGTACCATTGAGGACTACTCGCTGAGTATGGTTTGTCAGCCAGCTACAGATCCATCTGATGGTGTTGTTATCTATTCCACCTTTTTCTAGCTTACTAAGCAGCAGGTTGTGGTCTACTCTGTCAAATGCCTTACTGAAGTCTAAGCATACTAAGTCCACAGCATTTCGCTGGTCTACTAATTTAGTCACTTTATTAAAGAATGAAATAAGATTGGTTTGGCATGATCTGTTTTTGACAAACCCATGCTGGCTACTGATTATAACTTTTTTTGCTTCTAGTGTTCGCAGACCTGTTTTTTGATTATCTTATATTGAATTTCAGGATAATACATTTATCTTATCTTCAGCATAATATATTTATCTTATCTTCAGCATAATATATTTATCTTACCAAGGCCTAAAACTTTAAAATCCTGCATTATGGCAATAACTGAAAAATGGTTAATATATTTGTAGCTGGGAAATAGAATCTTGTGCCCCTTTGATCAATTATCCATGATTGGGTCTCTTTCAAATCTTCTCAACTGCAATTTCCATCAACTCCAGCTAGCATTACCAATGGCAATACTATCTGGAGTTGACAAGATTAGGATTGTTGGTCTTATGAGGCACCAAGCCTGGGAAGACTGGAAAAACCATGCCAGAATAACAATTGTTATAAAAGGTTCCTTTTTAAAGAACTTGTTTTAATAATTTATAGAATCATAAAATCACAGGGTTGGAAGAGACTTTGCAGATCTTTTGGTCCAATTCTCTGCCCAGGACAGAAATCCTTAGGCCAATCAGGACAAATTGCTGTCTAATCTTGTTTGAAGACTTCCAGTGACATAACACAAAAAATCCAAGTGGCAAGCTGTTCCATTGAAAGTTGTTATGGTCAAGAAATTCATTTCAAATTTGCATTTCTCTCTGTTAAGCTCCCACCATTGGTTCTTCTCCTATCTTTGGTGCTCTGGAGAATAACTCTACACCCTCTGCCCTGTGACAGCACTTCAGGTATTGGAAGAGCACTGTCAGGTCTCTCTTTAGTATCCCCTTTTTAGGCTAAACACATCTAGTTCTTTAAACTATTCTTTTTATTATTTAGCATCCAAGTCCTCTCTGTTGCTTGTCTGGACTTGGGATCAAGTTGAGATGTTTTACTGTCTTGTTTTATTTTATTGTAGTTCACTTGTCAAACTATTTCTGTGAAATATTGTTTTACTGATTTTAATATTCTACTATGGAGTCCTCTGGGAAGCAGTGTATGCTCATCATTATCTATGGATAGAAAACAGATCTATTTTGTTTTGACAAAAACAAAAATATAAGATCACAAGTTAATATGTTGGACCCGAATTCGGTACTTATGTGGAAACTTAAATCCCTCACTGCAAGCATACCTACCTTTTTCATTTTCATATCATTCCCAAACTTTCAATCTTCATCTAAATCTACAGTTGACTGGATAATAAGAATATAAATCTTATTGCAATACTGGGACACATTTCAGTTTTATTAATTATTATAGTTAGATGTTGTTTTATTTTTCACAATGATATTTACATGCATCATTACATTTTTATAAGATGATGAAACCAAATTTTGAGAAATTTTGTGCTATAGACATTTTGTAAATTTGCTATGTTTGGGGATCATTTAAAACATGTACAGTATTTGTAGTTGTAAGGGAAAGAAGAATAATGAAAGAATAACAAAAAATCTAAATAAGAACATTTGGAAAATAATATTTATGAATATTTAAAAACATAAGCAAGATAAGCCCCACTTGAGCTATACAGTTGCTTCAGTTAAATTGGAATTTGAACTTAATATCGAATACTCATTGAGTCTTATTAAAGAAAAGTATTGAGACCAAAAAAGAAGGTCATAGTAAATTACTGACCTCTTGATGGAAACAGTGATAATAGCTTAATATTCTGTAAAATGTATAAGGAATATCCCAAAGATGCTTTTAAACGAGACAACTGGACTTTTTTGTTTTCTCTTTGAAGACGTTTCGCTTCTCATCCAAGAAGCTTCTTCAGCTCTGACTGGATGGTGGGGAATGGCAGGATTTATACTCCTTGCAGACAGCTGGTCATTTGCATTCTTTTAGAAAGTTGGTGAGGTTTATCTGTGAATAGTGCAAATGGGTGTGGCGCCTTCTTGGAACTGCTGAACTGCTGAAAGGACTGTGTTGTAGACTGGAAATAGATGATGTCGTATTCCCCCCCCCCCAGTTGAGAGAGGCTGTTCAGTTTTGACATAGATGCCCCTTTTGACCCCTCTTTCAAACCAGCAATCTTCTCTGTCCAAAATATTTCCATACATGGATATTCACACTACTGCTTTGGTTTCATATTCATAAATGTAGATATATAAAAAAATATATACATTATATACAATAATAACATTGTTAATATAATAAGGATAATATGTAAATGAAATATTAAAATATATTTGTAAACCCAGTGGTTTTGAGCTTCCAGGCTAATTAGCTATAACAATTAATTAATTGAATTAACAAACACTATACAGAATTTTTAGCAATCTTACCTGAAAAATAATAATCAGCAGATCTTTCAAAGAGAGACCAATAAAACATTAGCTCCTCTGGAACTTTTTCAAATCATACCAATTAGAAATTTACTTGGATGAAAAATCAATCAGAAATTAGCTTCAAGAATTCCAATGATCTGTTCTAATTAGAGATTTGTTCTGTTATAAACGTAAAAGCTCATTAGTTCCTGCTAAGTTGCTTGTGGGTTGCCAAGAAATGTGCTACAAAGTAGACCACATTAAACTCTGAAGATGGCTCCCACAGTTCCTGGCAAAATGTTAATTAATTAGACCATAGCTTAATACCCTGGAAGCTTATCTTCACCGTTGGTTCATATTGTGAGGGAGTGAAACTGGGAGTGCTGCCTGTACTTGGGAAAAGCAGCTGCAGCTAAGCAGAAATGCTTCTCAACCCCATTTCCTAAAGGCTTAGTACAGCTCCTGATTATTCCCAGAAACTTGAGAGGAGTTGGCTCATTTACTCATTCATTCATTCCCTCCTACTCACAATTTACTCACAAGCATCCATGCCAGCATTCCATCTACCTGGCTAATTGAGCCATACTTTATACTATGGTGTGACCAGTATTGGAAAACAAAAGATCTTCACAAATATAATTGCTAATCTGGAACTGTTCATAGGTGCTGGACTACAATCCCCAAAAGTTTCCATTAGCATGTCCAGAGAATGTTGGAGTTGTTTAAAACATCTAGAGAGCCCTAAATTGTCAGAGCCCCTGAATCGCATTGTCAGAATTTGAAGAATTAAAAGTTGTCTATGAAAATGTCATTTGTTTGATGATGAGCTTTGTTTATGTTTTAGCATTTTTCTATTATTAGATTTAGTTTGAAGGGAAGATTGCAGAAAAAGGTTCAAAATTCAAAAACATCCTTAGGAATTAATTTGCTTTGTGTATTCAAGATATCAGGCACTATATAGAAGCTATTTTCTAGCAGCTTACAGGAATTATAAGAAACAGCATTACTTAAAAAAAAATCCCTATAAATTAAAGATAATTTATTATGAAATTAATTAGCAATCATAATGTCAACGCTGCAAATACTGTATATTCTTGCTTTGACAATATGCAGAACTGTCTGGTATTTTTGGGGTTAATACAGAGCAGAAGAGGGTGAGGGTAAAGCCCAGGAAAGAAAGAGGAAGGAAACCTTTGACCTTCACATTAATTGGATAATATGATATATGACAGCTAATTTAGGGAGGGAACATGCTGATAATTTAATTGCTCAGAGGAAGAGAACTTAGATCTTAGCATAGACCCCATTATGCCTGTGCCGACATTTTGAATCAATAAAAGACTTTTAGGGAAATCAATGCCTGGAAGTTCTTTGAAGTGTTTCATTAGCCAGAACCATAACACATAATACATGAAACATTTTTTGGGCCATAATCACTTAAGGGTCAGAAAGAGAATCTCTATTTTGATTTGTTATTTTAGAGTAATTTTTTTTATCTATCTATAAATCCACAACTTTTTATATTTATCATTTCTTAACTTTCATATTGTTTGTCTAATCTGCAGTATAGTCTTTGCTAGTGTTTACTTTTAGTCTGTCCCCAGTTTTAATTTTCATATTCATATTCTTTCATTTTCCTATTTCCTTTCTGCTGCTTCTCAGCAGTTGTCTTTGTATTGAACAAGCCAATTTTCTTCACTGCATAGATATATTCCTTTCAATCTATATAATGGATTTTAGGGAAAATGCAATGCTACTTTAAGTGCTATGTGGAACCACAACTATAATTCTGTCTGGTCGTGGGCCATAGCAGTGCCTCAGCAGTTCTAAGGAATCTTAGAAAGTCTCCGACAACATTAAAGTACTCCCAAGATTGAACCAGGCACTTTTGACTCTTTGGAGACTAATTTGCATTGAAGAAACTATGAGTACACATGCTTGTATGTTTGCATGTCTAAAACCCCAAAAAGAATTATCAGCCAATCAGTTCTTGTCCTTTCTGGTGTGAAACCTTGACAAGTCTGATAATTCACTATTATCATTTCCTGAGCTGAAATTACATTTCCTTATTCAACCATAAAGTAGCATTGGCACTAGGATGGATTGCAAACATGATGATGGTGGTGGTGGTGATGATGATGATATGCAATCAGCAATGGGTTTTATGTTGCCTCAGTGCCAGGACTCCACTGTTGTTTGCAAGACTCCTCCCCAATTTGAAGTGTGTTATGTGTTTATTTGCTTTCTTTTTTTATTTCTATAGTGTTTTAATGTATTGTTTTTAATCCTCTTCCTGGCAAGGATTTTACAAGCCATTCAGTGACTTTATAGTTTAGAAGTATATATATATTCCTAAACAAACAAACAAACAAAAAAGGATATATAGTTTATTTACAGCTATTCCTTCCCTCCCTCCCTTTTCCTTCCTTCTTTCTTTCTTTCTTTCTTTCTTTCTTTCTTTCTTTCTTTCTTTCTTTCTTTCTTTCTTTCTTTCTTTCTTATCACAGGGTTTAAATTGACAACCTTTCTCCAATCTTCTGCCAAATGCAATCTTTCCATCCTGGGCCAGGTGAAAGGCAGGGTGCAGAGAAGGAAATGCTAGAACAAGGGGGGCGGGGAGTATAAGGACTTGGAGTGGCCTCACTCACTTTGGCTTTCTCTCCGCTCAAATGAATGTGAGGAGCAGTGCAAGAGAAGTCTAGGTGGCTATTAGAAACTCAGAACTCATAGAAACAATATGCCTTTTAATATAAAAGAATAGATGTTTTAGGTGGACGTCTTGTACAAAGCTACTGATCATGTAAAGGCTGCAATGTTACATTCATTTTCCTAGAATTATGTTCTGACTGACCAGACATTTCACATCTCTGGGGAATCCATATGGTTTTTGAAAATATTATAGCACTGTTAGGACCAAAATGTTTTTCTCCTTCAGTTTAGTGCACTTGAAACATCATGGAGAACTTCACGTGTGAATGCACACCAAGAATCTGCATATTTTTAAGTCTGAGTGGCATAAAATCAAGTGTCAGTCTTGAGTGAGATTGGCCAAAGCTTTGGTGGAGAAAAAAAGGGGCTCAAAGTAAAATAATAGCTGAAGGGCCAAGTAAAGCTAGCAAGGGAGAAGGAAGACCTGTGCAATCTTGATGGTGTGTTTCTTTTTTCCTACAGTTCAGTCACTTGGCTGTCTGGGGAAGCATGCTGCTCTGGCTAGTCTTCTTTGGCGTCTACTCTACTATCTGGCCTGTCATTCCTATAGCCCCAGACATGCTTGGACAGGTGAGTCATTTGCTGTCAAAGATCAAGGAGTTTTGGTCACCCAAAACTATCCAAAGTGGCATTTAAGTAAACCCGTGGATTGGTTGATTTTAAGAAAAAATCTACTGAAAGCTTATTTTTGTTTTATTTAAAACATTCTCAAGAGTGGAAAATGTTGCATATTTATTTTTTTAAAAAATAGATAATTGCATAAAATGTAAACAATGGGACTTTAATTCAAATCAAAGTTTATTCCCATTTAAATGTTGGGGAATGTAGCTTTTCTGTGGGCTCACATAAGAAACTTAATAGTGGTGAATAAAAACACATATTATGGTTTATCATGATGGCTTGGTTTCTATAACACTGTGAACCACAAACTACTAAGTTTCTTATTTTCATGTGGTGTAGTGTGTTGTGACTCCAACCAATAAGTGATAGAAAGCCACTGTTCACATAATATATTTACTAAAGTTGCCACAAAGCTTACTCAGTCAAAGAAATATTAATCATTGATTGTGTCTGCATATGAATGAACTCAATCATTCCTCCAAGGGAACTGGATAAATAAATCATAGAAGTTCATTCGCTGATTATTTAGGAAGTTAGGAACTCTGGCTTGTTCTTCTCCTAACAAGTCAGAGTTGGAAAGCAGTTATAAACAATAGACCTTGCCACCTAGCAAGAAGAGAATGTTTGAGCAACCTATTCAAGCATGCTAATTAGTCACAGAAAACCTAGGAATTTGTAGCAAATGAGTTTAGCATGATATGTAAATTATTAAATTAGTTTTCCTTAATTGCAGTGAGGAATGTTTTGGTGGATAGGGAGTTGCATTCAACAATTGAGGAAAAGGCTAGCGTTGATGGAGTGAGGAATAGATTAAGCTGGGATTTTGCCATGATTGTATCTTTCTTTTAGGTTAGCTGGGAGTTTCCTTACTTTTTAAACCTTTATATGTCACACTTACTCTGGGATGCCGGAATTTAGACCAAAATGATGCTAAAAGACCATATCGGGACCTTTGGAACAGAATTGCTCATTCTCGGAATGTTGAATTAAAACTGAATTAAAACTGCCTACATTTGGGTAGAACAACAACAACAAAAAGGTTATCCAAGTGGGAAGATTTACTTTCAGAATGTGCTGTTCATGAGACTTCTTCTCCAGCAGTGGTGTCTCCCATTTGTTGTTTTAATAAGTACCGAGAATTGTTATGCCTTCAGTCACAGATTTTTTTTGAGTAAATATTTTAAATATTGTTTTAATAATCATCAATAAATTGGAAAGAAATCAAAACAAAAACAAACACAAGTCCCAAGGCAAAGTGCTTATGAGTAATCCTTATTATATATATTTAAAAACATTATTATGTATAATACATATTTTATATTATAACATATTTTCTGCTGCAAAAATTCAGTTTCAGTTTCTATCAGTGGAGAGAACAAGGGAGAAGTACTGTAATTCCTGTGTACTGGGTACATCATTAGCTGGATACATGCGTTTAACTTATGTTTTGCATTTTATTGTGAATTTACAATCTTCCTGAAGTTAACACATCCACTGAACACAATTTGACCAACTTTCCCACATTTTGCAATAGGAATTGTAAACAGCAACAATAGCTGAGTACAGTATGAATGCATACATAAGGGAAAAACCCATAGACAAATTAATAGTTTAAGGGTAAAGAATGTTGGGGGGATAATTGCATAGAACTGTGTCCTTGGAAGAAATGTTTATGAAAACATATGCAAAATTTTATGTTGACATTTTACATACAAACTGCCAAATGATGTGTAATGGGATGGAGGTAATCAAAAGCTAGAAAAAGAGAAATCTGAGCAAGATTGATCTTGACAGATCATCCACTCCTAGTCATTGGTATGCATTTTGATTGTACATTAATACTCTCCTTAGAAGGTTTCCTAGTTGGTGGTTTCTTTTACAAAACACCATTTGTAAACCAAAAGTTTTTGCAAGGCATATTATATGTCTACTCGGGATCTTGAGTGTTCTTTTTCTCTGACTTGTGGAAATGAAAGGAAATATACCTGCAAAATAAATTATTGGGGATTATAACCAGAAAGGAGCTCGGCATGTCACTTATAGTTAACTCTTAGAATGCTGGTGGGATTTTGGATTTGCTCTTTCAATATCTATTCTGTTCCAGTTGATGAAATTTTTCCCTTCAGTGTCATGATTTCAGTCTTTGGAGAATAAGGCAAAATAATGATCCTGTCAAGATCACTTAAGTGTCCAGTGGGAACAAGAAAAATAGGAGACTACTGGGATTTCTTTAAAAAAAAAAATTTTTTTTAAAAAAAGAGGACTTAAGAAATAAAATCAGTTTGTGCCCATTGTGATAAAATAATTGTGCTCTCTGTTAGTAGATGACATAAAGTTTGCAACATGTATGTTTGCCCCATTTGTACCTTGCTTTTTTTTATAATAGAAGGGAAATGTTTTTGTGAATAAAATAAAAATTTCAAAATGAAATCCAAGCTCCAAAGGAGTTTCTAGAGTGCACATGAGCCTGAGTTGCCTTTCCCAGTGTTATAATATTTCCCAGAGAAAAGAAAAACTCCAAATAATAATAATAATAATAATAATAATAATAATAATAATAATAATAATAATAATAAAAGTTGGAAGGGACCTTGGAGGTCATTTAGTCCAACCCCCTATTCAGGCAGGAAATCCTATACCATTTCAGACACATGGCTGTCCAGTCTCTTCTTAAAAATTTCCAGTGTTGGAGCATTCACCGCTTCTGGAAGCAGGTTGTTCCACTGGTTAATTGTTCTAACTGTCAGGAAGTTTCTCCTTAGTTCTAGGTTGCTTCTCTCCTTGATTAGTTTCCATCCGTTGCTTCTTGTCCTGCCTTCAGGCGCCTTGGAAAATAGCTTCACTCCCTCTTCTTTGTGGCAGCCCCTGAGATACTGGAACACTGCTATCATGTCCCCCCACGTCTTTCTCTTCATTAAAGTAGACATACCCAATTCCAGCACCCATTCCTTATATGCTTTAGCCTCCAGTCCCCTAATCATCTTTGTTGCTCTTCTCTGTACTCTTTCTAGAGTCTCAATATATTTTTTACATCGTTGTGACCAAAACTGGATGCAGTATTCCAAGTGTGGCCTACCAAGTCATTGTAAAGTGGTATTAATATTTCACGTGATCTTGATTCTATCCCTCTGTTAATGCAGCCCAGCACTGTGTTGGCCTTTTTGGCAGCTGCAGCACACTGCTGGCTCATATTTAAGTGATTGTCCACTAGGACTCCGAGGTCCCTCTCACAGTTACTACTATTGAGCAAGGTACCCCCTATACCTGTACATTTGGTTTTTCTTGCCTAAATGTAGAATCTTGCTTTTTTCACCATTGAATTTCATTGAATCTGTGTAGCTGATCCTTCCTGCCAACCCAAATAGTGCAAGGACAAATATGTCAGCAGCAGAGTGTAACGCCATCACATATGCTAAGCAATTTATAGCGGAGAAGAACAGCACAGCCTTTTACTTTGGAGATGTCTGAATTATGCCATTGTGCAATCCCCAACCTTCTTTCTAAATTGAGGGCCTTGCTGGTTCTTCTTTCTCTACAATCCCATTTCAACAATTGTCCATCATAGGAACATTACCTTTTTGTTTGGAGTGAAGGAAAACTTCACTTTCCTTTCCATAACACTTTTCAGGTGTAAGAATTATTCAGCATATGAGCAGTGGCTATTAGCCTGTTGTTGCTGTACACACATGCAAACAGTCCATGGGATAAAAATGTTGGAGAGGCATGCTTGAAGAACAAGAGCAATTCTAGGTTCACTGTGGAAAGGAAGGAAAGGGAGATGGTCTATGGAGTCATCAGCACTCAACGCTGCAGTGGGTCTGTGCAGCTCAGAAGATGGATGGGAGTAATAGAGGACAACTATTATGAATGAATACATAGACCATTTATTCAAAATCCATCGCTTGGTAATACAACACATGGTTTGTCTTCCAAAGTTAAGCCCCTGATCTTTCAAATAAGGTCGGAAAAGATCCAGAAAACCATGACTAGTAAGTATAATAAGTGTAATAAGTTAGAGGGGACAGTTGTCAATCTCACTGTAGAGCAGCTTCTTCTTCATTGATTGTCTTCTTCCTGTACCTCTTATGCAAACATTCTGATCAGAGAAGGGATAGAGATTGAAATCAATCAGCAGTGAAAACTGAGTACTGCTCCTAAGAAGGAAAAAGAGAAATGTAAAACAAAGAAAATTAACAACTTTATTTTTACAAAACATATCTCTACTTCCAGAAAGAAGCAAAATAATAACCAACCAGAAAAGGACATTTTAAATATTACTTATCACTTCTGAAGTTTCTAATAACTTCTGTTAAACAAAGGAACTATGTTCACCATTCTCTGTCAAAGCTGGTAATGATCTAATAAATATTACATTTCTGTTCTGGTTTAAGATAGGGGATAATTGGGTTTTAAACAATTGGCATGGACAGATTTCTAGGGTGAGGATAAAGAATGACAGCTGACAAAACAGGATTTGCCAGGATGCCTATGATTGGCAGAGAAACAACCAAGTCCTTAGATATTATTCCACAGCATCCTCAGTATGTTCTTGGCATCATGATTCTAATTCAGATTTCCATAAATTAGGCTGGATTGATTAAAAGCATCATACAAAGCAATTAAATGCCTTTTTTAAAAAATGTCTTGTATGATAAGCTCAAATGTATTGGCTAATTAATATATATATCTTATTGGACTTATTTCTGAGAACTAGGTATGCTATTTAAGCTATAAATTAGCTCTACTTGTTTTTATACCTAATAAATTAAATAATATATCTTTGTGCTCTCATTTAACCAGAAACTGATTGCTTTTTTTTGCATACCAGTCTTATTCTGAACATAAATCAAAATCAAATCAGGACAAGTTCAGTTATAATTAAAAACTAATCAAGGTAATTTTGAGATCTGAATGATTCCTGGAAGACCGAGAATAGTTCCAATTAAATA